TAATAATTAACACTAATAATTAAAACTTAATAATTAAAACTTAATAATTAAAACTTAACTAGTCTACTATTCAATAATTAAGAAGAATTTTCAGATTAAAATACACCACCAGCCTCCTGTACTCCCTTGACCACTTGAATTTCCTTGACCCCCTTGACTGCGTGGACTTCCTCGACTCCCTTGACCACGTAGATTTCCTTGACCCTCTTGACTGCATGAATTTTCTTGACCCCCTTGACTGCGTGGACTTCCTTGACTCCCTTGACCACGTAGATTTCCTTGACCCTCTTGACTGCGCGAATTTTCTTGACCCCCTTGACTGCGTTTTTCTTGACCCCCTTGACTGTGTTTTTCTTGACCCCCTTGACTGCGTGGATTTCCTTGACTCCCTTGACCACGTAGATTTCCTTGACCCTCTTGACTACGTGAATTTTCTTGACCCCCTTGACTGCGTGGATTTCCTTGACTCCCTTGACCACGTAGATTTCCTTGACCCTCTTGACTACGTGAATTTTCTTGACCCCCTTGACTGCGTGAATTTCCTTGACCACCTTGACTGCGTAGATTTCCTTGACCCCCTTGACTACGTGGATTTCTTTCATAAAACCTTTTACCAAACATATTTACAACTAAGTCCTTCAAGAAAGGCTGTGCCCTTTCACTGCACTGAGCAATACATGATACCCACAATGGATTTAGCCAGTTCTTTTGAAACAAAAGATCAACATCTCCATTATCTCCAATCCCAGCAATACAATATAGTATTTTATCAAAAGTATCACTTTCAACACAATCAGAAATGCGAGAGGACATGTCTGATTGGAAATCAATCATATTTCTTTTTACAGCTGCTTTCTTCTCTGCTACTGACGCATTCCTTAGTGAATGCAGACCAATAAACTGGTTTGTAAACGTGAATACAACAACCAAATGCTTCCATGATTCAATGTGCAAATTAGTTTTAAGCTCAAGCAAAAGATTTTGCAAAGGTTGATCAACTCTACGTCTGATATCAATACATAAGAGGACTAGATCAAATTTGCCTTGTGCATTGATTTCATTTAAAATTTTGAAATTACTTTTGCCTTTACTATCACCAAACCCAGTAGTATCAAAAACTCTTATATCTATTTCCTTGTGTTTCCCATCATGTACAAAAACTTTAGACTGCTCTGACTCTATACTATGACTAGTAACTGCTACTTTTTTCCCCATCATATTGTTAATAAGAGTTGATTTACCAACGCCAGTAGGACCAATAACTGCTATATTAATAGGCTCTCCTCTTTGACGCAATGCTTCTAACTTTTGCCTATGTTCCTCACTTTCCTCTTCAGTTTCCTCTTCTTCTGGTCGAAGATTTTCATTGGGTTCTTCTACATGCTGTAAACTAGAGTCATCCTCTTCAGATTGATCATCAAAGTAAGGATCCATGTCACCAGTAGCCCCGACTCAAGTAACTGCTTCATCAGGTGTAGAAATATTTGTACTATAATAATATTATCATAACTGTAAGAGGAGGAGTGGAAATTTTACCATATACATAAAAACAACAACTGTTACCAATATTTGTGGCATTTAATAAAAAAAATTTGGCAGAGTATAAAAATATTGCAGAGAACTTATAAAATTTATGCATAACCCACTGTCAAAATTGCAAAAATAACAATAGAATAGCTAAAAATGTTATTGCCACTCAATGGTTTTGCTGCACCCATCACCTGAGGTCTATTAAACTTACTACAACAATGAAGTTAAAAAGTTTACTAACCAAAAGAACAAAAAACAATAAAATCAGTTTAATATTTTTTTGTTTTTTTAACAACACACTTTAAAATAGCAGCACCAATATATCCACCCACAATAGCTCCAATTATAGTACCAATAATCGGTACAATAGAACCAACAATAGCACCAATACCAGCACCTACTACAGCTCCAAAACCAATAGCCAATATTTTAATAATGCACCACAATGATACGAAATGACGTGGTTCATTGCTGCAATGATGAATACACTTTTCCCATAGTGTATTGACCCAGTCGTCTGTAGTAGGTAACTTCTTTTCATCTTCTACCCCAGCAATACAATACGGTATTCCCTCCAGTACTTCTCTCCTCACACGATTAGAAATGGAACCAGTAAGGTATGATTGGTATTCTTCAATTTGCTTTTTTACTTCACCCTCCAGGTCATTTGACTTAGCTACACTCTCAAGTGTAATGAACTGGTTAGCAAACGTCAATACGACAACTGTCTTCTTCCACATTTCTTTATGTAGGACAGAGGCCAATTCTAAGAATGTGTCTCGTTCAATTCTTCCTCCTAACTTGGTACACAAGAGGACCAGATCATACTTGTCATGCTCAGCAATATTTCTTAAATAACTCAGATCACTCCTGCCTTGAAACCCAATGGTATCATAAACCCTTATCTTAATTCCTTTATACTCTCCTTCATATTCCTCTATTCCAGATGTGACAGATATTGCTCCATATCCAACCTTTGCTACATCTCTCCTAAACATAGCATTGATCAGCTCTGATTTACCAACACCAGACGGACCAACCACTAATATAGTTACAGGATCATCTCTAGTGCACAATGCTTTGATCTTTGCTTCGATTTGTGATGAAAGGTTGTCATTAAGCTTGTAACTCTCATCTAATGGAGTAGCCATTATCACCAGTAGCCCTGTGAATCGAGTAACTGCTTCATCAGGAGTACAAATATTTGTACTATAATAATATTATCATAACTGTAAGAGGAGGAGTGGAGACATGTGACTATACAGTGCATGATGTGTACAATCTTCAAGAAATATTAATAAATCAAACATTATAAAGCACTGAGATAATGATAAGAAGATTAATAACAAGTACATGCATGATCTTGTTGGCCTCGCCCAGCTTTGCGTAGGCAAGGACTATAATAGGTACTCAGTTTGTCTGTCTGTCATTCATTCATTCATTCTGTGTGCTATATTTTGTCTTTGAGAATGTATATCTTTACAATCGCGCACTCTAGATGTGAGAAAGCTTCTCTTCTGTTAGGAAAAGTCTTGCTTTACTGCTTCGAGATGCTTAGAGAACAGCTCTAGCTAGTACAAGCTTTTTAACTCACAAGAAAATGCCCAGCAATATCAGCAGTACTCTGGAGGTAAATGAGACTCTTTCCCAGTAGATCAAGACTAGTTATTCATTTAATATGTGTGGAACTCTTTAAATCTTTCTTGTTGGTGAGTTATAGCTACTCAAATTTCATCCCAAGTGACTTTGCTGTAGCAGTAGTTCACTAGTCTAAAGATCCTAAACTCTCTTAAGTCACTCAATCTATCTAGGCAACAGAATTTAAGCCATTATAACATCATATAGCACTTAGAAGAAGAGAAAAAACCCGAAGCTACCCTCTCACAGGGTTTTGCTGTATTGATAATTAATGCCACGCCTCCAAGCAGGACCAAGCTAGTAGTTGCTGGAGCCTGGAGCAGCTTACCACTTCTGTAAGCATGCAACTAGCAAGAGCAAGTGTAACTGCAGCTAGGAAGCTAGCTGATGTGATAATCCCTTGGCCTCAAGAGCACACTTTGTAAATTTTTTGCATAGTATGCTTTTTATAGATAGTGGCCACAACAAAAGCTGTGGTTTTGAAACTCATGATGTTGTTTTTAAAACTGATAAGAGTGCAATAAGTATAAATATAATGTATAAATTAGTGATAAATCTTGAGATGCTGATAGAAATTAATGAACACATTTTACCAATTTCTGGAGGGACTCCAGAGTCTCATCATACTTTTCACACTTGCCTAGTCTGTCACTTTTGACCTATATCATTTAAATATACTGGCTTAGGCTAGCTAAGCCTAACATCTCCCAATAGCTTTAGGGGTGAGGCCATGCACCTTTGGTGTCTCGTTTAGTGATGGTTCTTAAACTGGGCAAAACCCTTACTAGTGAAGCAGCTCTATTTATTTATAAGTCTGCATAACACATGCCAGGGCATGGCAATGAGTGAAGTTGCTCAATACAATCAGGACTAACTAAATAATTATTCACACTCATTAATAATATCAATAATAATAGTGTCATTTGTTTGCTACTTAACCAAATTAAAATTAATTTTTTCCCTTATATATAAAAGGCATAATAGCTTTAAGCTTCAAGACTATCTTCTTCGACACCAGCTCCCACTATACCTCCAATAACACCATCAATTATAGTACCAACAATCGGCACAATAGAACCAACTACAGCACCAATAGCAATACCAATGCAAACAGATTTAAAATTAAGTCGGTGGCTTGCATAATCTTTCAAGAAAGGATATGTTTCATCACTACAACGACTAATACATGTATCCCACAATGTTTTCAACCAGTCATTCATTGTAGGTAGTTCCATTTTATTGAAAAACCCAACGATACAATATGGCATATCATCCAATATTTCCTTTTTAACATGACCAGAAAGGTTAGCAACAAGGATTGATTGGCATTTCCCTATTTCCTCCTTTATTGCAGCCTCTGGCCCTATATGGACTACACTTCCAAGTGAAGTAAAAATGTTAGCAAACATCAATATGACAACTGTCCTCTTCCACATTTCTTTATGTAGGACAGAGGCCAGTTCAAAGAACATATCAGGATGACTTTTTCTACTAAACTTATACAAATGAGGATCAAATCAAAATGGCCATGCTTTGCAATATCCAGCAAGATACTGTGATTGCTTTTGCCTCTAGTATCTCTAAAACCAACAGTATC